CTTATAATTCGATGGAGCCGGCTGCACGCACGAAAAAACATGACTCATGCGGCGTTACCTCGCTCTGAGGCGTTCCATTTAAGGCTTGAAGTGCAAGCGAGAGCGCGGAACGAGCGACAAAGAGGCACAATCGGCCTCCGCGTTCGGCAGCGTTCGACATCTGTCTCTCTCCTACTTGAGTGAGCGATGCGTCCGCGTGGACAGCTGCTATACAATAATACATTTCCATTTACCTCCTTCTCTATATCCATACAAAATATCTATCAAACAAATAAAATTAAAATTTTCTTTTGAAAAATGAAACCATTCCATCAGTATTTTCTTATGACGTTGTCACGTTCAACTATCGTCAGTAAACCGACTTTACAGATAACCGATTTTTTTTTGTGGTAATTAGGGGTGAGTCATCCTTTTAATTTTTAATTAATAATACCTTGATTTTGGACGCTTATCTACAAAAAAATTTCAAATATGCTAACTTACGGGTTCCAAATTTCGCAAATAGTCCATAAGATCTTGAAGACGATCGTTGAATAAAGGAGCAAAGTTTTCTGGGTCTATCGCAACAAAGCATTGACTTAAATTGCAAGGCTCCTCTTTTGTAGCTATACTCCAATTCCTTACATATGGTCCGTAGGTACCACCTAAAAGTCCAATTTAATTTTAAGTCTATTTTTTCGATCAATTAAAACTGATAACGTGTACTACTTAAAGGCCGGCTGCTGGGTGCGAGAAAACTTTTGAAGAGAATAAGTTAACCGATAATAATGCAATTTCTAGCCAAAATGTAATAAAGTAGTAAAAATTAATGCATTGTATATAAGGTAATGAAATTTGTCGCTCTTGAGTGCCGCCGCTCTGAGCGGATCATTCCCTTCGCTCCTTTTTAATACGTTGCAAGTGCAAGTGAGATAGAAGTTACATTAGCTATGATTCTATCTCTCCTTTTCAGCCACACTTCCCCTGAATAGGTACCTGACATAATTCCAGTGAACATTTCTATCATTGTCCCAAGTCCATATCCCTTATATCCAGACCTATCCTCTGATCCTCCAAGGGGCAAAAGACGACCTGCACTGAATGCAGCCTGAGCATCTGTTGTAGGATTTGAGTTACTGTCTAACGCCCAACCTTCTGGGATTGGTTTGTTTTTTCGAATTAGCATTTCTATCTGAAAATATCATTGAAAACAATTAAAGAATTGAACGCATTATCAATTAAAAGAAACGAAAGTACGAAAGTAAAGTTTCGTAATATATATATATTAATAAAATAATTCGAAATGGTCTGGATTCTGTCGAAACTGCCAGACGCGGATCGCGATTTCGACCTTTTTGGATCTTATCAGCGCGTCGCAGGCAGCTCCGACAGAACACAGACCAACTTTTACCTGCTGTCTTAACAGTGCGTTTTAGAAAATACTACAAATGGCGCAGTAAACGCCATCTGTAGCACGATGCTACATTTTAGGATTACGTATG